AAAAACGGCATACTATACATGGTCGTTTTTTTCACCTAAAAACGGCATACTATACATTGTCGTTTTTTTCGGCCGTTTTTTTCGGCTAAAAACAGCATCCTATACATGGTTGTTTTTTTCGGCTAAAAACGGCATACTATACATGGTCTTTTTTTCCGGCTAAAAATGCCTGACTATACATGGTCGTTTTTTTTCGGCTCAAAACGCCTTATTATTCATCAAGGGTGTATAACATACGGCCGGAACAGGCCCGCAAGTAGGTTTGATCAGGCCCGCAGGATAATTTAAAAGTGAAAAAATGCACAAAAGACACGGAATAAATATTTTTAATAGGGTGCAATTCGTGGAACATCCACTCGGGGGAGACACTGTTTTGATCAGACGAAAAGACAACATTGTTTTGATCAGAGAAGAAGACAACAGCAGCCTCAGTCTGTTACCGAGACAGACCCAACACAACAAGCCTCATTTCATTTTTTGGAGTTGAAGGAAGATTGTTCTTGGGTCCTCCGTGCCACAAGAGGGAGTCACCGCCAGAGTCCACCTACGAGCACAGACCTGCAGGCAACACTTTTTGCTCTTCTTCCTGTTGTTTGCAAGGTGCTGAAGTCAAACTTTGGGCCAGCCTGAAAAGTAGGAGACATTTACACTCGTTCAATGCACCATCATGACTACTTTTTTGACTTGTTTTTTTCTCCCCCAGGCAGCAGTAAACATGATCGGCTTCCTGCTATCGAAAGACCCAACAGTGTATCTCCCTGGTAAGTTTCATGCCCAACACATCTTTGTCTGCACAAGAAATTGACTTACTTGTAACTCACGGATGCCTTTCCTCTCAGATCAACACACCTGTCCCACGTTCTTCTCAAGAGCTGACCACGTCGCCGCCCAGCAACAAGCAGAGTGCCATCCAACTTGCAACTTTTTCCTCTGCTTTTGTGATTATCTACTCTGCAAAAGAAATAAAGCTTGATTACAAAGAACACTTCAACTCAACTTCATTTTTAAACACATCACCACAATCTAACTTAAAAAAAAAAGAATAAATAAATTTTTAACAAAATTATTTAGTTTTTTTTCTGAACTTTTTTCTGAATTTTTAAAAAAAATTTTCCTGGATTTTTTTTTCCAGGCAGAAAAATCCAGGAAAGTGGGTGTGGCCTGGCTGGAAAGATGGATGATGATTCGCTGATTGCTGTGAAAGTGGGTGGAGCATGACAATGACATGCTGTGATTTGTGGAAAGGGGCGTGGTTATGCAAATTAGGTGTTCTGTGATTGGTGTGCTCATGGGGGCGTGGTTATGCACACTTAGAGCAATCTGATTGGCCAGAACTTGGAAAGTGGGCATGGTTATGCAAATTAGGGTTAGGTTATGCAAATGAGGGCATCAACGGGATTGGTGGATGTCAAAGTGGGTGTGGTTTGGGGCAGCACTTTTTCAAAGTCCCACTTGAGTCTTGAGCTCAGACTTGCACTTGGGTCACATCAGACAGTCTTTTCACTGTTCCCGTCGGTTTCACATGACCCAAAAGCTCGATTCCTGGAGTTTCGAGTCATGTGGAGATCAACGGGAACAGTAAAAAGACTGTCTGATGTGACTGAAGCGCAAGTCTGAGCTCAAGACGTCAGTCTTTGAAAAGGCTTCGAGTGAGTTGAGGATGGATTTAGTCATGAAACGCAAAGACTCAGATTCAAGTTGAACTATTTATTGGACAGAAAAGCGAACATGACAATGTGAAAGCATTTGACCAGTCAATCTTTGTGTGGGCCAGTTCAAGTTGCGCGCACACAAACACTGACGACAGGCCTGAGATGGGAGCATATGCTTGACCAGCTCATGCGCGATGTCACTGACATCTCATGACACACCAAGGGGGACATGAGCACGTCCGACTTTTCTCACTGAGACAAAAGCTAACTGCCATGTACTCCACAACAACATGATCGCACTCTTACTAACTTGGTCCACTTCAAGGTTTAAAAACATATTCCAGAAGTGCTTGATGATGCTCGGTTTGTCTATGTGGAGTTGACACTGTTGTGCAGTACGCGAAGCAGAAGTTTAAGTTGAGTGAGAGACAGACAGGCGGGCGCACTCACCTCCACCTTGTGGTGCAACGTGACATCAGACATCAGCTCTTCAAGCACACCACATAGCTCAGTACTCATGCGTCCAAATGCAAGTTGGCGTCCCTTCCGCATGTCCTCCGAGTCTGGCAGTTGCGCCTTTGGCCCAGTAATCTGACTAATCTGGTCAGGCAGAAAAACAACAGTGGAAAGTCACACACTGTAGTCCATAAAAAAAGTTGTTTCTTTTTTTCTTTTTAATTTGAGTCATTATTCGTAAAGTGGCAAACTTTTACTTTCAACCCGTCCATTTCCAAACGTGTCCGCACTCGCAATGCATCTGTTTGAGCATCCACTCGCGGCTCTCTCCCCACACCTAAAGTACAATGAGCAACCTCCTTTCGAAAAACAAATGAACAAAGTCACGGGTGCATTTGTGGGAATAGTTTTGAAACAAATCTGCCCC